TGCAACACCCTGAGGCTGCCCCAGACTCCAGGGGCACAGTGTCTCTCTTCCCTGTCCCACTTCTGCCTTACCCACTCCACACCCACACATAGCGGATCCCAGGGGCAAATCAGAGTAGCCAAAAATGCTTTTTGAAATAGGTCAACCATCCTAAAGCTAATTTTGAAAATCTACCAAAACAGGGTAAAGGGTTGCTTTAGACAATTTTATAAAACTAAAAACAGATGAGATCCGCACCCCCTCCACATCACTTTGCTTCATTAGAATAGTTCAGATCTGGGTCTTAACTTGTGACAAATTAATCACAGCCACATAAAACTGAAAGCAGCACTACTCCGTCCTACAGTAGACCCAATGCAAGACCCATTTTTCATATACAAAAATTACTACTTTTCATACTAATCCAAGGTCATTCTACTTTTCCCTAACTTGTTTTCTTTGTTTTTCTTTTCATCTCGTCTTTTTTTTTTTTTCCTCTTTTATTCTGGGGGATTTTGTTGTTTGTTTCTTTTTTAACCCATGGTAATTTTACAAGCACCACAGAAAAAGGAAAAATTATCCACAAGGTAGCTGTGGCTTATGGGAGAAATAACTGGTCCTCGCCTCCAGATAAAAGTCTCTCAGTTGGCCACTTGCTAGTTTGTGCCTTGAACTGAAAAGCTATGTCACTTAGTTTTCAGTTTGTAAAGAGGAGTGTAATAATTAAAAATAGCACTACCACCTACAGCCGTCTCCCACCCCTCAAATTAGATGGGGAGTACCAGTGAGCTCACATGGAGCAAAGCAAGCTTTACCCCAGATGCAGAGGAAAGAACACAGAAAGAAAGAAAAAACGAGAGCCTGGGAGATACAGATGCTCTTGCAAAGCACTGAAGGCCATTCAATAAACCAGCAGCACAGAAAGCCCTGGCTTCTAGACCATTCTGCTACCCCAGGGCTTGCCAAGCAGATGTGCCCTTTGACCTCGGAAGTAATAGAGCAGCTTTCAGCAAGGCAATTCCATGTAGAATGTTCCCAAGGGAGCAGTGGCAAGGACATTTTCATGATGCCTTTGCGAGACATCTTATTCCCATGACCCCTCCCTACATCAACCTTCGTTTCACAACTGGCTAATTCTTCCTCTCAAATGCTAAATTAATAGTAATTACAAAATTGAGGATGCTGCTCTTGCTTTTCAGGCTCGGTTCTAAACATGGGCTTTATAACCATCATCTCATTTAAGCCTCACAAATAAAAGCTATAAAGCAGGTTATGATTACAGTCATATTCTGCCTAAGAGAAGAGTCTGGAGCTGAAGTAACTCAGCCATACTTACCACCATGTAATAGCAAGTACTAAGATTTAACCCAAGTTCTTTGGACATAAAATGGTTACTGCATCTACTTCCCCCATAACCTTCTGCTTTGTTTTCAGTTCATTATCATCCCTCTGGACCACTGCAGGAGCCTCTGCCCCCTGTGATCTGTCCTACCAGCTATTAGTGGGTCTTCTTCCCCAAATCCAATTCCACTTACATCCTGGCTCTCAGCATCCAGCAAGAACACCGTGGAAAGCCAGGACTTTGAATAAGAGCTTGTTCCATGAACGCTGTCTCACCTTTCTTCCCTCCAGCTCTGGCTTTCCTAACCTTGGCCAACTTATTCCATGGATTCCCACCTCCCCTGCTGTTATGGGACAAAGGTGTACATCCCACCAAATTCACGTGTTGAAGTTATAGCCTTCAATGTGATAGCATTTGGAAGTAAGAAGAAAGACAGAATTAGGCTTAGCAGAAGCATAAAGGTGGAGCACACTGGTGATGGGACTTACTCCTGATGAGACAAGAGGAGGAAGAGAGGGAGATTCAGTATCTGCCTATCTGACTATCTGTCTGTCTATCTCCAAGAGTATACTCCAAACAAAGAGCACGTGAGCACCCAACAAGAAGACAACTGTCTGTGAGCTGAAATGAAATCTGTCAGCACCTTGATATTGGACTTCCCAGCCTCCAGAACCGTGAGCAACCAATGTCCACTGTTCCAGCCAACCAGCCCATGATATTTTGTCATAGCAGTCTCATGGACTAAGACCGTCCTACTGGAAATACTGTCTCCTCCTTATCTTAGCCATCCCCTTCCCTCTGCTAGGAAGGCCCTTTCCTCAGTATCCCAACACCTGGGTATCCCAACAACAGCAGCCTCTCTGGTTTGAATGAATGAACAAAGGACTCCTCCCAAACCAGGACTAGTTCTCTTCGTAGTGAACTAAAACCCAGCACACAGTTTTTCCTTGTGGCTTCAGATCTGGGCAGACATGGATGAAGTGGCCACTCCAGGTTCTAAAACACATCCGGCATGGTTACCTGTGTTCCTAATCTATTCAAATCCATTCTCTTCTGCCCAAGAAGTAGAGCTTTGTCTCAAATCCCAACTGAAAAGGCCTTTCCATCTTGGATTTTTTTTTTTTTTTTTCAGGATACAACCTGGCCTTCTTAAGAGTTTCAAATGCAAAACTTGGTAAACCGTTTTGGTTAGACACAGGACATAAAAGTGCGAAACTCCTTAGTTCGATGACAAGAAAAGAGGGTGTCCAGGTTCCAGGGTTGTTCCTTCCTCTTCACTCCTCAACCAGCACTAGAACTTTGCATTCAAAGTAAAAGGACAGATGGGATAATGTCTTTCCTAAAGATATTCTTTTTTTTGGGGGGGTGCTGTATTGGGGTTTGAACTCACACACTTGCTAGGCAGGTCTCTATCACTTGAGCCACTCCACCAGCCCTTTTCTTTGTGCTGGGTATTTTTGAGATAAGAGTTTCAAGAACTGTTTGCCAGGGGCTGGTTTCAAACAGAGATCCTCCCGATCTCTGCTTCCTGAGTGGCTAGGACTACAAGTGTGAGCTACCAGCACCCGACTCTGAAGATATTCATCTTAAAGTCTTCTGATTTGATTAATACACTAAATAATAATCACAGAGTCTGTGAAATGCACTGGCCCAAGTGGAAAGTGGGTACTTTCAGACTTATTAAATCTAGTAACTGAGAGAAAGAACATCTTAAAAGGGTCGGAGAAGAAAACCAAGACTCTAAAATATCATCTGTTCAATTCTTTATCATATTTTTTAAGCAACTTAGTAATTTTTCTCCAAAAAGGGTCATGCTCTTCTGCTTAAGTTTAGTGCTGAAACTTTGGGGAATTTCTTGTTCTAAGGTTGTAAGTACTGAAGAAGGTCAGGAGACAAACTAGGCTAACACCCTAAGATTCCATTTGGATTTAAATTCTTCAGACGTCTCCTATTCATGTTGTTGGAGATCAAAACCTTGGACACATGGTCACCTAAAAGGTGACTTCTAACCTGGTTGTTTGAATGAAGACTGTGAATACTGCGTTCCCTCAGTAAGTCTGAGGGAGGCTTCCTGCAAACTCTAGCCAGAGTGTAAGAGAACAACGCATGGAAAGAGATTAGAGGATTAACTAATTATACAGTATGTTTCAGCCTGAGACTCGGGAAGCTTCCGGCCCTTCTGAAGAAAACACTGGAAATTAGAGGGTTAAGAAAATATAATAGAGGGGTGAACTTGTTCAAAGTACACTATAAGCATCCGTGAATTAGCACAATAAGGTCCCTTGTACTATCAGTGCATTCTAATAAAAGACAGTTAAAAAAACACTGTAAATTCATATTACACTGAATTCTATGCTCTGTACACATATAAAAAAGCAAAGACTAGAAACACTGGTTGTTACTGTTTATTCAGTAACACTCATATGAAGTCTATAAAGCTAAAAGCTATCTATTAGGAACAATGAGTTTGTAATCAATATCAATAAATCAACTCAGCTTATTTTCTACTTTTATCTCTTGGATTTCCAAATTTAGTCTTTTAAGCAGTGACATAAATAGTCAGCAGCATTAGTTTGGGATCCTCTTCAATGACAAGAAGGGCCCACAGTGACTCATTTCTTTGAATTGAAAAACAATTGACAACCATACTTCAAACTATTTCAAGCTAACCTAAGATGACACACATGTAAAAAAAAAAAAAGTCAATAAAAATGTATTTTAATGAAACCCTGGAAACACTCCATAATATAAACAAGTGGTGATTGTTCATATTAAAATACATCAAATAATACATTCTCTCTCTCTCTCTCTCTCTCTCTCACACACACACACACACACACACACACACACAAATAAGCCTCTTATAAACAGTTGCTGACCAGCTGAGGAAAATAATAAAAAGATCACTACAAATTTTAGAATCAATAATAGCATTGAAATCTTTGTAGTTTAAAGACCAGCTTAGGCTAAATCTAACATTAAGCTAATGAAAACCTTAGGCTGCCAAACCTAAGTCTGGCTGGTACTTAAGTAGCAGATACTTCCCACAGGCCATTTTTCCTGCTCCCCAGCCTTTCCCTGTGTTTGCACACCCCAGAGGGCTTCTTTTTGTTCAGATGAGCAGGACAAGAAACGGCCAACTATACTGTGTGTACAAAGAACTGTATTACTCGATTTACGGCTCCAGGAAGTGACTACCGCTCCTTTCTTCACACCCAAAACTCTTAGAATGGTCAATCAGGTAAAGAGGCTTGAACAGGCCTTTCCTTGCCCCAAGCAATGTCAAAATTGCAATGTGGTAGGTGAATGAGGGTTAAATTTAAGTGCTATTGTGACCAACAGATGCCATCAGTTATTAACTTCTTGTCCTGTGACTAAGAATTTGCATTTTTACCCTAATTATCACCTGGGTTATTTGCTTTTGAATAATTCACTGCTCAAAAAGGACTTGAAAACTCAATGTAGCCCCATACTTTACTTCCTTTTCTCCTGATCACTTTCCTACCATCCTAGTGAACTTCATATAGCCTTATGAAGTTCTACCTAAACATTTGCAAAGTCCTTTTGAATCTCAAGCTGTAAAATACTGACTATATCCCATATGGATGGCACCAGAATTAGGAAGCAGGGCTGTGAGAGTGTAGAGACAAGTGCCATCTTCCCCAAGGTCCACACTTACCTGCAGGGAAATCGTTGGGCTGCACCACAGAAAGGAAGATGTGCACCATGTTGAAGAGGGCGCCAATGGGCCCGGCTTGGTAGGAGTCTTGGGTTTCGAACTTCATTTCAAGCAATTCGTAATTCAGAGCCCCAGGAGTGTCTGTGGATACAGACTGCCCTCCTGACATGGTATTCCCACACAGCCCCAGCAGCAGCAGGACACCAAGAATGAGGGCCATAGCTAGCAGATTCCCCCAAGCATGAGGTAGATTCTGGAAGCCTTGGGGAAGACAGGCCTTCCTGTGCAGAGAAGGCCGGGGGTGGGGGGGCCCTGGACCTGCAGAATCTTCTGCTTCCTGGGGCGCTGGCTTGCAGCACAGGGCACAGAGGAGCGTTTTCCAAAGGGGTCATTCATTCAAAGCGCCATCCCTGGCAGGGAGAGAAAGGGCAGAGAGTCACTTACAGGTGATCTGCCTGCCCCAGGAGCTGCCCTGGGTAGGAGGTGGCAAAGCTTTAGTTACAGCCCTTGGGCCTAATCCGGTGGATGGAAACCAGACAGCCTGACACAGGGCTGCAAGGGAGGGGCTGGCAGGAAGGGAAGAACCCTTGGAGCACAGACCCTTTCTGGGTTCAGCAAATCCCAGGCAGGGTACAGAGTCTTGGAAACTAGCACTGAGCAGTGATGACATTGCAGGCACTGTGCTTTTAAGGCATGATCCCACTATACAACAAGGAAACTGAGACAGAGGGTATTTTGGTAACCCACCCAAGGTCACAGGTGATTCATGGTGGGGCCACAATTCAAACCTAGTAGTTTCCTTTTAGAGCCTAAGTTCTAACCGTGACACCAAGCCACCATGCCACTGACCCTCCAGAGCGCACCCAGTCAGACTCCAGGCAGGGTGGCAGAAGTAGGACCTGGGATGCCCAGTTTCTTTCTCTCAGTTCTGTGCTCTAAAACACACAGCTAGCATTTTGTATGCTGGATCTATACCGTACTTACTAACTTTCAAGATAACTGCAGGGCACCCCTCAACACTGTGAGAAAGGCAAAGCGGGACGATTACGTGATCCATTTTACAAAGGGCCTGAGGACCCACTGTCTATGTCCCAAGTCAAAGGGAGTTCCAGACAAGGGGCGGGGTTTCATGAGTATTTAAATGAAGAGTTTAATTCATACCTAATCCCTCTTAGATGTTACCTTCTCTTCTAAGACCCATGACACTCCAATTACTGCAGCCCAGAGCTACCAACAGAGCGACTGACTCTAAGGTCATTTCAGCAAATCGTGCTGTTCCTCGACCCTCGTGGCTCCTGGGACCAACCTCATTCACCCCACGGCTAAGTTGTGGCCCCTCCTCACCTCCATCACAGGCACACCGTGCACTGGTGACCTGGGTGATGTTTCCCAAAGGGCTCCCTTTGAATGTCGCCCTCACCTAGGCTAGGAAGGATTAAAGGCTCAGCAACGGAGTAAGGCTCACTTCCTGGTAAAGCCGCCAAGCCACAGCCAAAGATAGAAAGAACTGTCCCCAGAACAGCCAGGAACAAACAAGCCACGAATTCCCTCAGGGAAAACACCGAAGGGAAATAAGTCCCAGAAGACAGGAAACACCAGTGCTCACCACAACCAGGACAAAGCATCAACTGCCTCGAGGACAAATGGAGTTGTGTGTCCAGATTTCTTCAGATCCTGCCCCAAAGTGCAGGTCCCTCTTAAGTTTTAAAGATAGTTTAAGAAAATATTAAAATCTCAAGAATTTTGAAGCATTAGACAATTGATGAAAGTCAAGTCAAAAAGGAGAAGCTTTTCATCTCGGTTTTAAAGGCTGTACACAAACAGAAAGTCCTTGGGACCACTCCAAGAGCCACTGCGAGAGACTTATGGAGCTACCTGAACAAAATCCAGAACAGCTCTCAGGACCAACATGTGTGTCAGCATAAAATGGAGTTTAAAATGCAGATGACTGAACCTAATTTCTAGGATAAGATTCATTAATCTTATTTTTATTGGCATACATTAAATTGGCCAAAGTGAGGGGTGTCATTATGACATTTCGGTACACTTTGGTCATTCCCTTTTCCCTTTCCCTTTCATCTCCCCAGTGGTCCTCTTTTCACTTTATGAACTTGGTTGTGTATTGTGTTTTGTTTTTGTTTTCCTCTAACAGATGATAGAAAACATGAGATTCTATTCTTTGTGGGGCTGGCTTACTTCACCTAACATGGTGATCTCCAGTTCCATACATTTCTCAGGAATGACATAATTTCACTCTCCATTAGTCTCCCTCAGGTGACTGATTTCGAAGACAGAAGTTCAAGAACCACCACTGTACTTGGAACACCTGCCTCACTTACTCATTTCACTTTCCAAGGATCTTTTGGGCTTTCCAGGCCAGACACAACTGCAGGATGACAGCAGACGTCAGGCAAAGCTTTCCCAAGTGCCCTTTTCATATTGCTCTGACCTGATCTGTCCCAGCTGCTGTGTGGGGACCATGACTTACTCTCCTCAGTATTCCCAGGACCTGGTACACAGTGGACACTCAATATAAGACTGTTAAAATAAGATGGGGTAAAGGAGGCTAGCACAAAACAGTCATTTTTGCCTCTGTCAATGTCGTACCAAGCCTTTACCAATTAGCAGTCTGGGGAAGGATGGCTCCTGTCCTGCCTCTAAGACTACTGGTGCTATTTCCTCCAGCCAGGCAGCAGATGGTCTCCTCATTGTCACCATGGCGGATAGCTGGTCTACCAATCTGGGGGAGCTACCATCTGCTGAGACCCTCAACTTTGCAAACTTTGGAATTGTTCCCTTGGGGTGATCCTCTTAAACAGCTACTGGTGGATAAGACCTGCTCACCATTTTCCTGGTTGATGGGGAGCAAGTTGCTGGTTTCCATTCCAAACTCACTGAATTCTAACAGGGAAAGGGGCCCAAGACAGTCACTTTTAAACAAATACCTCACATGATTCTGAGACTGGAGTCCAGAGCACTGCATTTCAGCAAACACTGGTTTAAAAGCAAATAGGGCAACTGGTCAGGTTCATTTTCTTTTCTTCTTTTGATGGGTGGGAATGTCTCAAAATTTTTCTTTTTCAAAAGGATCCCCGTGGCAGATGTTGGTCATCTGGGGTGCTTCTTTGGGGACATTGAGACTACCTAACTTCTGAGTCCACCTTTGTGAGTCTTGTGGGAGGCAGCCCTGCCTCTCATTGTGAGGCCAGCTGGGGTACCCAAATAGGTTCTGGGGTGAGCCAGGCTCAGCCAATCAGATGCTTTCTCCTGGATCTGGGCCCAGGTCTGGGGCTGGAGCACACACTGAGGCTGTGCACTTTCTAATTCATTTTAGCAATGAAGGTGACAATGTAGCAGCCACATACAATGACACTCCTTCCTGGACCTCTCCCCACCCCCATAGTCACAGTTATACACCAATTAGGGGACCTGTCCTGGGTTCAGAAGACTTCTACCACATTCCTAAGGGGGGGAGGCAGTCTCCAACAAGTCCTTTTTCTGCTACAATCACCCAGAGTCAGCTTGTATTACTTGTAACAAAGCATCCTGGTCCTTAAATCTCCAGATGCAGCTCTCCACCCCCTGAGAAACCTATTTCCTTCATATTTAAACAGACCAATACTTGTTTTAAAGGTTTGTTGTTTTCAACCTGTCCTTTGATGCACTTGTTTACTTCTGCATGCCGGGACATAGAGAATAGTCCAGCACAAAGATCATAAGGAAGTTTATACAAATTTTATGGGACACGTTAAGAAAAACAAAACTAAAGGGCACTACGAAGCCTCTGAGACAGGACAGAGTGTCTGGTCCCTCTGATAAGTTCTGTGACAGTGACAGCTGCTTACATTCTCCAACCTTTGCCTTGCTCATCTGTGAAGTGGGGATTTCGAATGGGGTTAGCGAACAGGTGGCACGCAGCTGACAGTTCTTGGGGGGCTTGTCCCCGTTCTGCTACTGTTTTAAGGTTCTAGTCTTAACTCCACCTGGACCCTGGGCTCATCCTGACACAAGACAGCTCCGTAGAAACTAGCAGAGGAAACTCACAAACCAGTGAGAAAAGAAAAATAACGTCACCCAAGTGGAACCACATGAAGTTGCTGATATTCAAATGTTCAATCCAAAAGAGAAAAAGGTTGCAATGGTTCAACCTTTGCAACTCTTTGTTGCAACTGGTGTCTTTAGCGAGAGCAAAAGGGGCCTTCAAGGACTTGCTTAACAAAGGTCAGCAGCCGCTCACAAGAAGGCTCTGGAACCTTTCCCCACACGGGCAGGAGGAAGGTCGGTCTCCGTCACAGGCTCCCGGAGCAACTGGTAGTTGCAGGAATCGCGGGGCGCGGGTTTCCCCACCGCGGGGCCGGACCCCTCCTGCCCTGGCTCGCTCCACGGATGGGGTCTCTCCGGAGCTGCGGGACACAAAAGAATGCGCGGCGAGGCGGGCGCGCGAGGCCAGGAGGGCCTGGAGGAGGGGGCGCCCGGTGACCGCTCTGCCCCGAGAGCGTGGGCGCCAGTTCCCTTCCGCGGTCCCCGTGGGCACGGATTGGGGGCCCTCCCGCCAGAAAGAAGGGGACCTGGAGCTGTGCTCCCCACCCTCATGCGGATCTGCCCTCAGGGAAACCGATCGGGAGTACCAGTGTCCTGCAGCCGGGAAGCTCGTGCGTCCCACGCTCCCCTTTGTTGTCGGGTCGGCGCGTACTGGCAAGGGTGAGCCCTGGGCACCCCAGTTCAACCCCGAAAAGCCGAAGGTCCCAGCACGGTGCAACCAGACTGGCCGCATGGGGGCGGGGGTGCCTGCAGCCAGGGGTGCGTGCGCTCTCCAACCGCCATAAGGAAACGGCTCCCTCTTGCACCGCCACAGCCCCTCCTGCTGTGGTCACTTGCACTGCACTGTCCACATGGAAACCAGAAGGCTGGCCCCTCGTTCTCGGTCGCGGAGGTTCGGCGTCCTGCGTCCCCGAGGCCGTTCCTAGCGCTCCCCTTGGGGAAGAAGAGTTCCCAAACCCCTGGCCGGCGTCCCCTCGGCCTGCCACCCTCCCCGAGAGCAAGCCCGCGGCCTCCGAGGCTCGCGCCCCAGAACCCGGCGACACCGGTCGCCGGTCCCCTCCAGGGGGTGGAAGCTGGACTTAAGAGGCGCGCGTGGCGCGGGCCACCGCACCGGAAAAGTTTGCGCGCTCTACCCGACTGTCCCAGAACATGCGGGATCTGCCCGCGTCCTGGTCACTG